GCCCTTGGTTGGAAGCACAAAAATGTGAGCATTAATCTTCAACCTACTTATTGTACAATTTTTCTCTGGAAATTGTGTTCTCTGAATGAATGTAAGAAGATAAGCAGGCAAAAGAGACGTGGGATATTTCTCTGGTTGCCTCAGGAATCTGGGTCTATGTAGTAAAGAAATAGTTGTAGAATTTTCCAAGTTCCTACCAAATTTGGGCCCTGGATCACGGGGAAGGAAGCGGAAGAAATATGGCATGTATCTTTACTTTCTTTTTTTTTTAGTATGACTTCATTTCACAAGATGTCTGAGCATGCTTTAATTTAATAAATTAAATTAAGTGAATGGATAATTTGGTAGAAGCAACCACCAGCATTCTTCTGTTCCCTTCTGCTATTTTCATGGTAGGGGTAGTAAACATTTTTATCACCAGAGAACTTTTTTTCTCTTTTGAGTTCCATATTTTGAAATATTTTTCTCCTATCAAACTACAGTTTTAATTTCCTCCAATAATTGGTTCATCGATATCATGTATTATGTCAACCAGAGCTTCTTATAAGTATGAAATTGTCAGGATTATTCAAGGAATTCATAAAATTCAAAACCAAAGAAGGCAGACTGTTTGCTCATTGCAGTCTTTGTAGAAAATGTACAATTTCCATTAGGCTTTTTGAAACATCAACACTGTATCAGGACACACTGTTTTTAACTTTGTGAAGTCCTAGCAGTCTTAGACTCATGGTAGGAAACTGCTGCATCTTCAAGGATCTGAAGTAGCAGAATTCAGACAAAGTCTGGGTTGGCCAGCATAAATAGACAGCAAGCTCCCACAGTGCTGGTGTATACTTAAGAGACCAGTCTCCCCACTTTAAGCTTTAAAATAGATTAATACAATACAGGGCATAACAGTCTGACAGATTAAGGCAGATTATCAGCTAATTGCAGAGAGTAACATCATAACTTTGTTTTCAGTTCAGCGTTTATCTTTAAAAAATACATATATGTTATTAAATATATGTGTATCTATGAGTGTGTACACATATGTAAGTACACACACACTCACACACAGTCTCTGAATTAGTTTCAATAAAACCTGCATCCGTGCAGAGGTACTCATGGAGTGCCTTCAATAAAAAAGTCACTGTGTGTTACATGATAACATTGAACAGACTCCAGACAGCCTCTTATCTTAGATATACAACAACGTAGCATAACTCAAGCCTAAAGGAGAAGTTAAAACATTAGGTAACAGTAGCAACAGTAGCATGTTAGTGGAGTAATAACTCTCCTGGAGGATAACCTAGGATGGGTTTTATTGAATTCAGTTTATTTAGCTGGGATAAACCCAGATAGGCATCTCATTTACAAGAAGGTGCTAGCAAGAGGGCAGGTTATTACAAGCACATTTAGAAGATAAGCAATAGAAAATTGCATAAAATCAGACATCAGGAAAGAAGCAGAAGTGGTTCCTGCTTCAACTAACTTCTTGCCTTGGACAGGTCTGTATTTACTACAACTGAAAATAATAATTGCCAATTCAGAGATCTGCAGGGATGAATGGCACTTTGGCTCTTAAGAACCCGCTAAATTACCCTTATTGACAAGCTTGCTTTATGGCTACTTGAAGTCCTTTTTTCTTTTTCTTTTTTTCAATTTAAGTGTATTTTCTTTGTTTCTCTGATCTTTGGAAGATGAAAATAATTATTTGAAGTTTCTTCATAATAATTCTTTTAAAAACATGATGATAGTTGTCATCTCTTAGTTTCCCCAGTTCTCTATACAAATTAACCAACTGTAAAATTGAAACGATGCTATTTTTCTACCTTTTCCATTTTCAAGGGTTGTTGTTTCCTCCTTTTTAAATTTGAATATGACAGATGTTTACTTGGTTATTTCTATATGTGAACCTTTGTCCCTAGGCACTGCTGCTGACATAGGGAAATGCATAGATTCTCTCTTAAAAGGTTATTTTGCATGGGCCTTTATTTGCAAGTTGGTTTTCTAGAGAAAACACATCTATTTGTCTGATAGCTAACTTCTTTGGATGCTTCATCTTTTCTCTTGTCCCATTTAGGCATCTCTTCCTTTCCTAAAGATCATGTTTTCAAATCAGGAAATATTCATTAAATGTCTACTCTGTGAAAGCTGCAGTGCATGGCACTGAGGATGATAGAAAACAAATACAAAAAGGTCCTCTCTTCTGAGATTTCACAGTCTAGGCAGAGAGACCTACATATACACAAATAACTCCAACATGTGGGGTGGACCATGTGAAATGCTTTAGTTAAGAAAAAAAGTGTTATTAGTTGATTAGGTACTGACCTATCAAGGGAGTTTAAGGGGGCAGTCATAAATTTTTATTTTTTTTAAATCTACTTTCTTTAAAATCTTATATAAAATCAAATTGGTGGTTGCTTCTACCAAATCATTTATTTACCTAAAAAATAACTTTATTGCGGTATAATTTACGTACCATAAAATTCACCCATTTAAAATATAGAATTCAATGATTTCTAGTAAATTTACCCAACTGTGCAATCATCACGATCATCTAATTTTAAAACATTCTTATTCTTCCAATAAGAGCCCTCATTCCCATTTATAGTTGATCCCCATTCCCAGTCCCAGCACCCCTCAAACACTATTTTACTTTCTGTTTCTATAGATTTACTTTTGCAAGACACTTTCTATAAATGGAATTGTGTAATATGTGGTTTTTTGTGTCATCTTCTCTCAGTATAATATTTTTTGAAGTCCATCCATATTGTAGTGTGTATTAGTATTTTATTCCTTTTGAGATTGCCAAATAGCATTCAATTGTATGAGTATAGCAGATTTTATTTATCTATCCACCAGTCGTCCATTCACTTTTCAATCCTCAATTAAATTTCTTTCTCCCTCCTTTCTTTCTCTCTCCCAATAAAGAGTACTATACAAGATTATACTATCTCAAATATATTCCAGAATCTTAGTCCATGTCCAATTGTTATTTTTCTAGGAAAATCTGATTAAAGTCTTTAAACATTAACACTCCAGATTGTCTCTATATAGATGAGGAGGTCATGTGGCCTGGGTAGAAAGCTCTCACTCGTTCTTCATTTTTAATTTAAAGATTTAAAAAAGAGTCCGATTCTAGTAGTATATTTATGTTTTAAACAGAGGAATACACTCTGAGTTCTGGAAAAAGGACATAAATTAACCTTTGGAAGTCATCAGAACATATCACCCACACAAATGCTGCTGCTGAGTTAGTTACCTTTCAATGACTGCTGTGCCCATTATCAGCCATATTGGAGTTTTGTGGTATGTGGTATGCACTCAAGATTTTAAAGTGTTAGAGACATTTCCTTCTTTTAGTGTAAAGCAGGGTGACCCAACGTCTCTCAAAGGTAAATACGAACCCTCTCTCTCGTTTGAAAGAGTTATTGAGCTATGTTTACAGTAGGTCCCCTTTGTCTGCAGTACACATACTTTACATTTTCTTAAAGGTAATGGGCTACCTGCCAATGACATTTCACAGTTCTCAAGCTGCACGGTTTCTTCAGGAATATAATTCCTCATCTGCTTTGCCCTTTCCCTTTGAGTTTTACGTTTCATCCTTGCTCTGTGTGATGCACCAGTCAACACAGATTCAGGCAACTCCTCATTTCTCCTTCCTTTGATGGCCTTGAAGCTCTTCATCTGGCCAGTCCATCACGCCCAGAGGAATGTGGCAGGACGTGCCCCTGCAGTAGTGCTGCAAAATCCGGTTTACCGCCCTATCGTTTTGTAATTGTCTCCCTCCTTCTTCTCATGTTCTTTTCCCACCTAAAATAATAACGGTAACAATAATAATATAATAATCATAAAAAGAAAGAAAACCAAGGATAGGAATGGCTTAAAATGAACTAAATTGGTCATTGTTATTACAGGAGAACTTTATATAGAATACAAGCAATAATCTGCTTATATACACGCCATTCTCTTACACAATAACTTCTCTGTCATCACTCTTTTCCTGTGCTTGGCAAAAGCAGTGAGTTCTACCTTCTCATTCCCATCCTATTTATGCACTCACGAAAAAAAAAAAAAGCCAACAGAGCTTCCTTTTGTTTTGTTTTTGTTTTGTTTGTTGGTTTATATCTGGGTCCCAGCATGGGGCAAGCAGCTGGAGGGCACTTTTGCTGGTCACCTCTGTAGAGGGAGCTCTCGTGTTTTATATGTAGAGCTTGTGGCTTTCTCACAGTGAGAGTGGAGTCTGTAAGAAGCAAAACAGCTTTCTTTTGAGGCATCAAAACGGTAACGGAGACCCTATCGAAGTTTAGGGAGATGTTGTGGCAGATTGGCAGGCATCCCTTTATTGAAAATGTATTAGATAAAAAAGCAGCTACTAGAACCCTACAGTCAATATGACATTTCCTAAGTACTGAGTTAAACTTCCTTATGGGCACCCTGAAGATACTGAATAAGCTGTATATGTTCTATATGCATCACTTCTCTTATTTCCATGGAGAAGTACACCTTTCTGTATTTTCCTATACCTTCTTCAGAAGCGCATCATAAATTCCCAAGTCAAGGCTTTATTTAGAATTAGCTTTATTAGAAATGATTTTGGAAAAAATATTTACAAATACAAATAAAAATGAACAATTTACCTGGATATTTTTGAATTTGCAAAATGACTGATGCTTTGCAATGGAAACCTTTCTTATGCAAATTTGAAGTTGCAGATGAACTCCACATAGGATTCCTGACTTAAGAAGAAAACAAAGAACTGGAGCATTTTACAGTACACTAATGGCCATTTTAATATTTCTCATCTGTTCTTAATTTGAGATAGACGTAATCTCTTCTGGGCTAAGACTTGCTACTTTTAGTATTATTTTTAGTTGTTAATAAAATCTTCTCAATGCTTTGGCTCCCAACTAGAGCTAAGAAACATTTAGCAATAGCTAAAGAGTCAGCTGAATAATGAAGGAGTCAGATCAATTCAATTCAATCTATTTTTTTTTTTTTTTATGTCCCTGTTGCAGGCAAGGCACTGACTTGAGGATCACGGAGGTTAAGAAGGAGGAGGAAGGAACAGATGCTTATCTCAAGAAGCTAGCAGCCTGGTTAGGAATCTAAGATAATTTGGCGTTTCCATTCAAGATATTAAAAAGGTAAAAATAAAGTATTTCTATGGGTTTCAGTTTATGGTAACCTAGGAAACATAAAAGTAAAGGATGAGTTTTAAAATGTGTGCTTAGAAATGGAAATTTTTCTAAGATCAATGATCAGTCCTTTTTTTCTTTCTTTCTTTTTTTTTTTTTTAATGTCAGTCTGGAGACAGCAAGCTTTCATCTTCTGTGCCTCATCCATATAGAGTGCTTGGGTTACTTTATTAGAATGAGCAACAGTTTATGGGAGCCAGACAGAAAGACTGTGATTTACTTCAATTCTCTCCCAAGGATCAGTGCAAAAATTCATGTGGACGATTGACTGTTAAAAAACGTTTTAGACATATTTTTGTGGTTTGAGTTTGTGTTCATCTATAAGATTGTTTTAGAGTTAAATGCTTTGATGAAAGGACCATAGATCTTAAGAAAGAAAAGAACAATAAGCAAATTGATCTAATTCCTCATTTTCAAATACCTAAGGTGTTTTTATTCCTCATTTCATGGACACTATCCAGAGGTTAAATATATCACCTAAAATTGCAAGCACAAGAAGGCTAGATTTCTGGCCTTCTGCCTCCCAGGGGAGACCTGTTCCACCTTAGAACATCTTGTAGATGAAAAAAAGTAAACCACAAACATGCTGTGAGTTGCTAGAAACTCTCTCTCTTTCTCTCTCCCTTTCTTTTTTTTTTGCTTATAAATCTAAATGTCAATAAAATAATACTAGTTTTGGAGACATTTTGCACTCTATTATCATTATTTATTTAAGATTTATACCACATCAATGTCCAAAAAAAAAACAAACTTAAATATGTTGCAACTGTATACACATTACAAAATAAAATACCCCAAAAAACAGAGTAAAACTTTTTTTTCTAAATCAGAGAAATAGTTAGTAGGTATATAAGTGGCAAACACTGATTAATCCAGAGGATGGAATTTAGTTTTGAGTTTCTTGACAGATGAAATAAAATTATAAGCATGTGGAGCTGTGTTATTCTCATTACCTTACCTCCTAGCTTTAAATTGGGTTCTCAAATTTAACAGAACACAGAAAAGGAGAAAAGTATTTTTAATAGATTTTGTGGATATCTTCAGATTTCGACTTGTATAAAGCATGAGAGTAAAAATAAATGTGTAAGAACCATTACTCTCCAATATGTTTGTGCACATGTTTTTTAAAAACTGATGGTAGAGAGCATTTTTTCTCAACCTGCAGCGTGTAGTAAGTTTCT